AATGAATACTTGAAAACCACTTTAAAACCTTCTACTGCTGCAACTGATGGGATGTTTGCTATATTCACCTTACGCCAAGCCTTATTTCCTTTTCTTTTCTTTGCAAGGATTATGAGTACCCTCTTCATTCTCACAGTTCCCACTACCAGAAGAACGACCGCTGTCCCCCCCCGCCCCAGACCCTGCCTGACCATGCCTGCGAGGTGCCAAGCTGCCGCTCCGACTCCGAGTGCGAGAGGCACAAACGCTGCTGCTACAACGGCTGCATCTACGCCTGCCTGGAGTCTGTGCAGCCACCACCAGGTAGAGTGGTCTGATCCCAGTTTGATCACTATTTCCCTGTGATCAAACTGGGAGGGAGAAGCAAGCAGAAGTGGTGGTTGTTCATCGCCAAGTGTGTTGGGTCTCGGGTGGGAGGTCTGGGTTGAGTTTGAGTTGAGGATGAAGCGTCGGTTCCACAGTTCTGATTTCTGGGGTGAATCAAAAAATTATCTAAGGTCAACTGGTGTGGTGAAATTTCCACCAGCATAAATTGAAGAAGTCACTCAAGGCCAATTCTTTTCTTGGTATGACATACTCCGTGCTCAAACCCTGGCAGTGTCCAAAGTCAGGTTGGACAGGACATTGAGCAACCTGGTCTAGTGGGAAGTGTCCCTGGCCATGGCAGGGGGTTGGGACAAGATGATATTTAAGGTGCCCTTCCAACCCAAACCATTCCATGATTCTATGTTTCTATATTCAGGAAAAGAAGTAATCCCAATCTGAATTAGTGCTCATGGAAGTGAGGCAGCCATGGGAATGGAGGACGGGAAACAACTGCTTTGGCCTTTATGACACCAGGTTCTTGTAGCCCTGGAAAACATCCATGGCTCCCTTGCCTCTGGGACAACAACAGCATGAATATAAGTCAAAGTCAAATCCATCCTTCAGGGGCCTGGCAGCCTCGTCACAGGCTGTTAGAGGAAATGTGTGACTTTTCCATAACTCTGTGCCCCGTGGCTGCTCCACCTTGACTCTATGGTTTCTTGTTTGTGTCTTCTACAGTGTTAGACTGGTTGGTTCAGCCCAAGCCCCGTTGGCTGGGGGGAAATGGGTGGCTTTTGGATGGCCCAGAGGAAGTCTTACAAGGTACAGTACATTTTACTGTCTTCTCTGTGATACCAGTAATTATACAAAGGCACTGGATAATATATTCCTCATACCCAGGGCTTGTCAGGGATTTTGGGCTGCTGGGGCTGCTGGTGTTTGTCTGGAGTTTCCATAGGAATTGTGCTGGGGGCTGGTTTCTAGTGCAGTAAATAAATTACTTTGTATGGATATGGATTATCCAGCAGAGCACTAGGAATGCTCCAGGGTACTGGAATTGTACCCATTCTTCAAATAATTTGAAATATTTCTTTCTTTTAGAAAAAGACTTTGTCATCATACACATATTTTCTGCCAGCTTCCTGATAGACTGTGGGTGGACTTGGATTAGGAGATCTTTTAATCCAGAGTGTCCTCACCACACAGATGCCTTGGGCTGGGGCTGGGGCTCTAAGATCTGAAGGCTGCTTTGGATAGGAGCCCAGGCAAACTGCTGCAGAGTTGTGTCAGTCTGACATGGAGCTGGAGCATCTAAGCTTGGGGGCTGCTAATGAGATTGCGATTCTCAGGTTCATTCCATAGGGAAAGGTTTTTTTAATAAACTTTTTCCAATACCTCAAAAGAAGGAGAGTGGGGGAAGTGGGAAGTTTTCTTGTCTGAGACATTCCCAGGTGTATGTATACCTGAAATTCTTGATTTTTTTTCATGGAAAGGCTATTCCAGCTTTTGATCAGCTTTAGCCAGACACAGGTAGTGCTGATAAATTACCCTCTTTGGTCTTACACAGATGGTATCAGACTCACCAAGCCTCAACTCTCATCTATTATGGAAACTCCAAGTTCTTGAAGAGAAAAATCTGCCTCCAGCTCATTGGAGCTGCACTGCTAGAAATAAGATAAAATAGGTTCCTCCTCATCCATCCTTGTCATGCTTATATTATTTATTCTTATCTTAACACCTTCATCTCAGGTTGAGGGAGTAATTAGGGAAATAAGAACCATCAGTCATGGCTTGAGAATTACAGCAGAGGTCCTTGAAATTAGAATGCTGCAAATGAAAGGGTGGAGAGTCCCTGCACAGTCTATACATTTCATGGCCACAAACACTGCCTGAGCCTTGCTTTACTTTCTCATTCTGCTCTGCATTTGCTGGGTACTCAGGGGCAAGGTGATTAAAGCCTCTGTTTGGGATGGGGGTTGGCACTGCCTTACCCTGCTGTGAGTCACACCTGAGATTTAGATTCCCTGGTAGGTTAATGGGTGTGGAGCAAAGAACAGAGCGGCACCCTGCCAGTTCCTGCTCATGTTCCCAATTCCTCACCCAACCCAAAGCCCTGGCTGGAACAGACTTATCCCTGCTTGAGGGAATAGTTGTGTGGAGGGATCACCCATCAGGGTGAGCCTGGTGGGCAGTGGTGGGATGTCCCCACCACCCTCCAGTCTCACACAGACCCTGCACAACAGGCTGGGGGAGGGTGTTGTTGCAGGTAATCAGGCTGACCTGCACTCCCTGTATCAGGCTACACATCAGCTTATGCGTAAGGTGTGAACTGGATCACCTGCTCTAACAGGATTCTTTGGAGGTGTCAGCCCCGTGGTCCCTTGAATGGGAAGGAGTCTGAGATCCTGCCTAGGAGGAGGTGCAGAAGGTGGTGCTCATGTTGTCCTGTTTTGGTTCCCTGTGGGTGTTGAAGCCATGGTTTATGACCTGCAGGCTTCTCTTGCAGCTGAGGCCTGCAGTACCACTGAGGATGGAGATGAGCCTCTGCACTGCCCCACGGGCTATGAATGCCACATCATCAACCCAGGCAACACAGCTGAGGGAATCCCCAACAGGGGCCAGTGCATCAAGCTCCGTGGAAATCCAGGTCAGTGGGCTGGAAATCTTCCTCCTTCTGTTTCTTCATACTGATGTTTGCATGGCAGAACAAGAAAGGAAGGGACCAGGACATCAGGACACTATGCCAGTGTCCTCTGGGACTGTGTGAGCTGAGCAGGGAGTGACCTGCATGTGCCATTACCACACAGCACAATAGATAGAAATATTATCCATTACTACACCATTAGCTATGAAATGTGAGTTTCAAATGTCAGTTTTGACTTCTGACTTTGCTTTCTGCATCCAAAATATTCATAGAATTATAGAACCGTAGAATCCACTGGGTTGGAAGAGACCTCAAAGATCAGCGAGTCCAACCCTACCATGGTTACTAGACCATGGCACTAAGTGCCACATCCAGTCTCATCTTGAAAACCTCCAGGGATGGTGAATCCATCACCTCCCCAGGCAGCCCATTCCAATGCCTGATCACTCTCTCTGTAAAAAAACTCTTCCTAACATCCAACCTAAACCTCCCCTGGCAGACCTTGAGCCTGTGCCCTCTTGCCCTGGTTGCCTGGGAGAAGAGACCAACCCCCACCTGACTCCAACCTTCTTTCAGGTAGTTGTAGAGGGTGCTAAGGTCTCCCCTGAGCCTCCTCTTCTCCAGGCTAAACACCCCCAGCTCCCTCAGCCTCTCCTCATGGCACTTGTGCTCGAGTTCCTTCACCAGCCTTGTTGCTCTTCTCTGGACCTGCTCCAGCACCTCAATATTCTATTGTTGCTTTTATTCTGCTGACACATTTTCCCAATAAATGAACTTATAGAGGCCAAGCTATTTTCTAGGAAAGCTCATAACATGTCTGGGTATGTGCAACTTCATTCAATAGTAGGATATGTATGTCTGCATTGGGCTACAAAACATCTCAGTGTAGAGACCTGAGACATCAGTTCTGCCATTTGGTCACTGTAAAAAAGCAGAGGAAGCATCAAACCAGAATTCTGAGCTGCTTCTGTAACAGACTGGGTTTTTTCAGTGTTTTTTGATCAACTCTTTTATAACTTTTTCTTTCATAACCTCCATAGTAACCAATGTAATGCCTTAGACATGAGATATTTCTAAGAGCTTAAGTAATTATATAAATGGTAAACAGAACAACCTTGCTGGAACTTGGATGATGTAAAATGCTAACACATGGTCTGAAATGCTACCCAGATTATATTTCATTTGGGATAGTCTGTGGCTCCTTGACTTGTAGCTTCTGAAAAGATGATAACATGCTAATGCTAGCAATTCCCACTCTTAGGGCAAGTAAGTTTGTTCACATAGCTCAATAATCTAAACAGCTTTATAAGAGGTTTATAACATCGACACTACTTCAGCTGCAGAGAGCTTTTATTTTCCTTGATTGTGAGGTTATTATTTCCATATCTATAATGTCCCTGTGCTGTACACAGATTTTAAGACACAGAATAAAGGCTGACTGGGTATGTTCTCGCTACCTTCTCTTTCAGATGGACAAAACCTGAGGCATAAGTATTACAAGGAATATTTTGGTAAGCTGCTGGTGTGAAGTGTTTGCTGTTATTTATAGTTCTTGCAATGCTCACAAGGAATTTGCTGCTTATGGAATGAAGGTCTGTACATAGCAAAAAGAGATTCTTTAGCCTCAACTCTCTATGTCTTTGGAAGATCTTATTTTAAGATCTGCAATGACTTGACTGCAGACTGTTGAGAGAATCTCCAGCTGTGACAGAATGTGTTTAAAGTTACAGTTTTCTGCCAAGGGTTTCCACCCAAGGAGTGGGAAACATTCAATCCAATAACCTTTTGTTATTTTAAAGTTTATTTTTGGAGCTTTGCTCATGGCCCAGGACTCCTTGCAGCTGAACATAGAGCTCTGGCAAAGGCAGTCTTTAGCCAAGAGGTTTCATTGTGGTATGTCACCTCATTTCCAGGAGATGACTGGAACCCAATGAATAAGTCCTTTGGGGTTACCTGCAGCCACAAGGGGTATCAGGTGCCTTTTACCAATGGGTAGGTATGTGTCTCAAAGAACCAAAAGATCTCTTTCCTCATGGCTTCAAAGCTCCTGGTTTCTGCTAACTCTTGGAGAGGGACAGTCAGATCAGATTGGAAGTGACATTCAGATATAACTGAATCTTTGCTATACTATACAAACAGCCAAATTTGGCCAGTTGGGCTGATAAAACTAGGAAAGGATTTCCTTTCCTCTGTTCCAGTGTGAGCTATCACAGCCATCCCAGAGAACTGCTAAATAATGAGAGCAGTGAAACTGTATTGCTGAGAGAATCTTGAGAAAACATTTGCCACAGCCTAACATAAAGTGGAACTTTGTTGCTATTTGTTTTACAGGGAGCAACTCCAACAATGTGGTTGGCTATGTGAAAAACCAGCAGAAGCATTTAGGCTAATCACAGGTGTGCCTGGGTAAGTGTCCTGTGAATAAAAGGAAAGCTGGGTGGAAATAGTTGGTGCTTAGCATGCTTAGATTACAATTATTGAAAGAAATGGTTGTTTGAGGGTGAAATTACCTCTCACCAAAATGCTGGTGTAAGGACAGCACCTTAAAGCCACCTATAGGCAGCTACCTCAGGCTGCATGAAACATTCACATTTCACAAGGTGCACCTGTATTTCTCTGAAGAACTTTGCCTTGTGGCTCTTTAGAGGATGGAGGGATTTTCAAGATGAAAAATAAATGCTGCAAAACTTTGTGTGCCTTTAGACTTTAAACTTCCTGTTTAAGGGTTTCTTCTAATATAGGTGTAACTGTTCCTGCAGAGGTGTTTATCCTGGACTGATTGCAATAGAGTCAGTCTTGCAAATATTTAGGCACATGGGTGATTTTGTGGGATAATGTTATGTGTGTGAACAGTTGTGTTGAGTAGTGTGACCCTCTCCTCTGAGTTAAGGTCTGTGTGTCTGGCCAGAGCCAATGGCAAAAGCTCCAATCATCTTATCAGGCTTTGAATTAGGCAAGAATGAAAATACTTATTATACCAAAGGTTCTGTTCCAAGATAGTTTTCTCAGCACTTTAAAACTAACTTGAGCTCAACTGGCAGTTGTGGAAACAAAGCAGTTCAGTGTTCCTGTCTGTACCTACGTCAGGCTGATTGTTAAGGTTACTCAGCTACTTAAGGACAAGTTCTGTGCAAACATCCCAGGGAGGATAAATATTTTAATTCCTCTTTTTTGTTTTATTTCCATCCAGCTGAAACACTCTGTCAAGGAATGCTTTATCCAACAGTTTTCTATCTTGGAAGAACTCTGGTCCCAAATCTCGACATGCACATCTCCAGCTTCCCCCTGATTCCTGCCCATCACTGAGAAAAATTCACTGTTCAGGGAACAGGATGAGTCTAGATTTTAACCCTGTCAGGAGGGGGAGATGTGATCCCCTGAAGGAAACCACACTGTTCATCAGCTGCCCCTCTACAAATGGAATGCAAATACCTCCAAGGGATCCCTGTAAGCCACAGTGCCATGATCAGGCTGCTGACACAGTCTGCCCTTTATGTGCTTGTTATGTGACCAGTTCAGATTTCATGACCCTGAACACAGCTCAAGAATGACCCTGAACACAGCTCAAGAATGAAGCAACATCAAATTTTTACCTAAATGTCATATCCAGATTGCATTACATTAGCTAAGACTAAAGAGGCTCTCTAGACCAAATCCAGTGCCTGCCTATCTTGAACAACCACTTTAAATAAGCCTTTTCATAAGCTTAAAATTCAAAGAGACCTTCAATTTTCTTCTTTTCCTATTTATATCTAAGGTTCCCCAGGTCTGACACCCACTCTACAAGCCTAAATCTGAAGCCTTAAGAGTTTGAGGAAGTCTGAGCTAGGAGCAAAACCAGTTTGATGAAGTTTTTAAGTTACTTTCCTTTAGCTTCTCAGTCTGGTGAGCTGCAGATGGTGAGCTAATAATGGAACACATTTCTTTCTACAGTATCTAAGCAGACACAGATGCATGTCAGGCTTTGTAAGTTGCTGGTTTTAGCCAGCACAGTTAATACTCACAAAATCTCTGGTTTTGTACCTGCAAAACCTTAGCAAAGAGGGCTGAGGTCTGGATTAATTGTTGTATGTATTAGAAAAGCAAGTTCAGGATAAATTTGTGTGATGCAAAGGATTGTCTGGCAGATGGGCCACTGCACTTCGCAAGTCCTGTACCTTTATGTTGACTTCCATAAATCCTTAAGGTCAAATTATTTGTATTTGGGCCTTAATACTTCATTTAACTGTTTCATTATAACATGGACACCACATTCTCTATTAACATTTTCCTTTTCTGCTGCAGTCCTGAAAGGACAGCTGCATTTATTGTGACAAATCAGCCAGGATTGCTAGGCAGAAGCAGCCACATTTGCTCCCTGGTTTAGTACAAGTCTCCATCTGCATGCATTAAATTAACTTTTTAATTTGCAGAGTAGTAGTGGTGTACATAAATACCCAATTCACAAAAGCAAGTGCCTGCTCTCACAAAATATAGGAGGTTTTTTTCCACTCACCAAACAGTTTAAGTCAAAGCCAAGATGCCTATAAAACACTTGATACTTTGCACATGACATTTGCATCTGGAGAGATGGAAGATGCCAAACTGCTCTTCTGTTTCCTATCATAAACAGGCACAGCCCTCAGTGCTTGACAGAGCAAAGGAACAGCAGAAGGGCTCCACATTTTCCTAAATACCTTCATTTGTTGCAGTCTATTCACTTCTTTGTGCCTTTGTTCCAAGTTCTAGATATTAAGTTCAGCATCATATTAGGACAGAGCTATTGCTAGAATGTTATCATATAAAACTCCCTGCAATGATATGTTAAATTCTGCTCAGATAGGAGTCATAGAACCATAGAATCATGGAATGGTTTGGGTTGAGAAGGAGCTTAAAGCTCATCTAGTTCCATCCCCCCTGCCATGGGCAGGGATGTCACCCCCTAGATCAGGTTTCTCAGGGCCCTATCCATATTCTATAGTTCCAAACTCAGTTTAGGCCAGAAACTTGCTGCTTATCTTACTGCAGCCTTGCTCCTCATGCTGCTCAGTGAAATGCATTGATGTTGTCCAGCATTACTTCTTGCAAAAGAAATCAAATTCTGTTTAAAAAAGCAAAGCCCTTTGGTGATCACTGTTAAGCCCCAAAGAGTAATTGCCAAATTGTTCTGTTTTAAACTAAAAAATTCAGTGCCTAAAACCTTGTAAGGATCTAGTTGAAAAACCTGTGTTGAATATTAACAAATTTGAAAGAATAAAACCTCAAATCTCAGCCTAATCTTTCAAAGCAGTGAAAAATATGCTTCAAGTGGACACATTGGCTTTGGTGTCTGGTATTTAGCAGCTGCAGAAGCACATCCCTGACCACCTGGGTGGGATCATACAGGTATTTTCTACTTGCAAAAGGAATTTTTGAAAAACAGAATTGACAAATTGATCATTTGTTGATGAATTTCTGTTTACTGGGTGGGTGTTAGCAAAGCCATCACCCTTCCTCATGGTGCTATAATGCTTGAACTTAATGCTTATAACTTTTTCAAGTTAATTCAAGTTATTGTCAAACTCAGAAACAAAAGCCACAGAAGAGACTTGTCTAAGTGCTGTGTTTTTAACACTGACATTCATCACACGTTGAAATGAAACACAGACCAAGTGAGTTGTCTTTTTTGCTTTCTCTCCAAAGACAAATGTTTTGAGAGCAGTCTTGTGCAGCACAGTAGGAAATCACTGGTGCAGGCTGGTTTTACTGTTTCCATGTTCACTTTACAGCATGTTTGGTGCTATAATAAACTTCACGTGTCACTGTGTGCTAGCCATGCTCATGGCCTTCCAGATCCTTGAGGATCTGCTGCAGACCCAGGCAGACCCTCCCTGGGGTGTGCCCCTGGTGCTCAGTTGTGTCCAGGTTCTGCTGCTTTGGTGCTCAATAAAATGTGATCTGTCTATTTTTCAACCATGCCTAGTTTCACTTGTGTGTTCTTATAGACTCTTGGGTTTGGATTATGAAAAGAAAGGACAAATCTTTTAAGTTGTTGGGAGAGCTCTGATAATACAAGTACAGAGAGACAAAAGTCATATTGTCCACTGGAAGGAAGGTGACAAATGCCCAAACTGCATCTCCCACCTCTGTTCCCTTTCAGAGAGATCACCTCTGTGGGTCAGATACTGTCTCAGTTCTTGGCACCTGCATTTCTATTGCCCAAAGAGGAGCTGATGTGCAGCACTGTAAAGAGGCTGGAGATGGTGCCCCAAGGAGAAGGTGACCCTTTTGTTTGAGCAGGCATATCTGTGCTGATTCAGCCTTGTTGCTCACTGCTGGATGGGTTTCAGCTGCCAGCTCAGGTGGTTTGGGCTACACAAGCAGCTGCTCAGGCAGCTTTGCAGGAGGTCAAGGCTTGCTTCAAGGGTGGAAAAGCGAAACGAGCCAAAGGCCAGCACTGGGCTGTGCCCACTGCAGGACACAGAGCTGACAGAGGAGGGAGGTTGGGCTCCTGGACTACATTTCCAGGAGCAGACAAGATTCCATCATCCCACCTGCTCCACCCACATTGGTCTCGCTCTACCTGCTTGTCAGGAGTCCTTCTGCATTTCTTCCCTTCTGCCCTGAAACCATACGAGGGAGAGAAACTGCCTGTAATTTAGCCATGGAGAGGATAGCAGTGGTTCTCATCACCTTGGAAAGGTTTTCTGTGGGCTTTGAGATGTCAGCCAGCACTAGGTGTCAAGGCACCTCTTCACTCTGGCAGTGAAGTTTTGATTCTCATGGCAATGGTCACAGAGCATCTTTGAATGGGGAGATTACAGGGGCTGTGTGCATAACTCCTGTCTCCTCCTGGGAGGTGGACCAAGTACTTTGGCTTTCAAGAGAAAGACCACAAAATGATGTTTTCATTTCAACTTGTCTCCATGTCAATGCAAGCAAATATAGTTTCTGCTGTTGTAGCTGGGTAATGGTCCTTGTGGAATATAGTGTGACCTAAGGCAACATCTGCAGCTGACACTGAAGTGCTGTTGGTGCAGCCAAGAAACCAACACTGGAATCAACAGAATCATATCATAACAGATCTTCGAGAAGTCAGGGGTCTGCACTGAAACCACAGTCTGCATCTCTGGGTCAGGAAGCTGCAGAAGTTGGAAATATGAGAACAGCAAAAACCAATTGCTATTATTTCTTACTGCCTGTTTGGAGCTCCATGAAGCTCTTTGGTGCAGGAGTGTTTTGGTTACCTTCAGGAAGCTGTTCCATAGTTCTATGGGCAGTGAAGAAGGCTATAAGGTTGAGAAAACCCACAGAAGAGTCTTTGGAGACTGAAGGTTTCTCTTTGCCTAGGACATAGCAGGGATTTGCTCATAGAGGAGGTTGCTTTCTCCTTCCACCTCACACTGTCTATGCAGGGTGGATTTCTCTCTGG